CCTAGGATTGGGAGCTGCCCTGAGACTGCATCCATGCCCCTGTGCTGCGTATAGTGTGGGTGAGGTGGGGAGAGATGTTAGAGGAGGCTTGTGAAGGGAGGGTGTCCTGCTGTGTCCCACTCCGGGGTCAGGAGCATGTCAGGTCTCTTCACATACTCGTGTGGCTATCAGGCCACAGCCCTTGTGTGGCAGACAGCTGGAGCCACCTGCCCAGGGGTGGCACGGTACATGCTCGCACGTGCGCAGGTTGCTGCATGATCTGTGGTAAGCAAGGCCCACACGCGCGGTCCCTGGTCTCCCTCCTGGGAAGGGGACAGTGATGGCACTTACATGGTGTGGCCTCCCCGGATGACCCTGGTGACTCCGCTGCTGGGGCAACTCGGGGGTCTGGCCGGTGTGGCACCCTCCATGGCAGCTCTTCCTCTGCACCCTGGTCAGGGTCCTCTGGTCCCGGCTCGCTGCCCCCCCCCCGGGGTGGCACGGACCGTCCCGCCCCCCATGATGCGGTCCAGTGACTTGAAGTAGGGGCAGGTGTCTGCCCCTGCTGCGGAGCTGCCCCGAGTGGCCCTGGCATACTCCTGCTGCAGCTCTTTAATTTTCAGGCGCACCTGCTCCTGGGTCCGCCTGTGGCCTTTCTGGGCCATGGTGGCTGCTATGCGGCTGTAGACGACCACGTTCCTCCGTCTAGTGCAGAGATCATGGACATTGGGGGCCTGCCCCCAAACCTCAATGAGGTCCATGATCTCCTCACTAGTTCAGGAAGGAGCATGGCGTCTACAACCCCCGGCTGGCTCCTGGGTGCTGGGTGGGGGACGGCTGGCTAGCACTGACTGCCTGGCTCAGGGTAGGGCCACTGGGTCAAGGGCAGAGACTGCTGGCAGGCCTGGATCTGGCACGTGCAGTCTGGCCAGAGTCTACCCCTTTAAGGGCTCCAGTGCTGGGGGAGAGGAGAGGAGTTTTCCTGGTTTGGTCCAGAGTGGCCACCAGGGGGAACTGGGAAGGGCTGGAGGCCAGCTAATTCGAATTAAGTGTCTACACAGCACTTATTTCGAATTAGCTATTTTGAATGTGGCATTACTCCTCGTAGAATAAGGTTTACCAAATTCGAATTAAGTGCTCCGCTATTTCGAACTAGCGGTTTGCATGTATAGACGCTATTAAAGTGAATTCAAAATAACGGCTGTTATTTCGAATTAACTTTGCAGTGTAGACTGCAAAGGGGCCACAGGGCTACTTGCTGTTTTTAAAGTTACAGACTAACACAGCTACCCCTCTGAGGCCAGTTAGACAGTTTACCTCATACATCCTATTTCTGGCCAGCTCACACTGGGTTTGGCCCACGTTAATAAAAATGTTGCAGTGTGTTTTTATTAGTGTAGGGGTTAGTAGGCTCCTGCTAGTAGCCATCTGCCTCCAGCTCAGGACCCAAATGAGACAATCCCAGGTGCTTGTTCACATGTGGGGAGGGGAGAGGTGAAAATAGGAGCAGCCATTGCAATCTGTGGTATTGTTGTCACCTGCCATGTGCTTGACTGGTTTTGGCCATCCTGTCCTGACCTGATCTGGGACTTGAACACACAACCCTGTCCTCCCCAGGCGAGTGCCCTAGCCCACGGGGGAACCTGCCCCACCACCTTACTGTCAGGGCACCCCTTATCCCTCCAGCCCCGGGGCTGCCTGGGGGACATGCTGATTGTCAGAGGGAGCTCTGGCATGTTTGCAAGATGAACTGCCTGGGGTTGCCATTGAAGTGAGGGTTGAGAATGGGATGGCAGGAGAGGACGGGGTAAAGCTGGAGGTTTGCATGGTGAAGAGAGGTGGCGGGATGATGACAGCGAGGGTAAGCAGTGAGGATTAGGTCGCGAGTGTGTGCTAGACAGTGAGGGGGGGGGGTGTATGGGCTGAGCAAGAGGTCAACAGCCCCAGGAAAAAGATATCAGTGGGCCGGGGAGAGATTGCTGTGCATGTGTTTCGTAACAAGACATGCAACTGCATGGCCTTATTTTGGTAACCTTTGTGCACTCATCTTCTTATCTTCTCCCACCTATGGCAGTAACTTTCCTTCTGCCTCGAGTCTACCAATAGTATTTCAGTTTGTGGGGGCAGTGACTGTGTCCATTTATATGTTTGGGCACTAATTAGCTCACTGCAATAAATCATCGTAACTCCCCACTGAAGTCAGTGGAAAGTTTTGCTAAAAATAAGCCCCATGGTATAGTCTACAGGTCTTTTTAGGCCGTGTCCAAATTGTTATATCATCTCTTGCCAGGAGGGAGATCCGTGTTCTCCATCTCAGATGCAGATGACTCTGTACGTTTCATGGAAGCTTGTGGCTTTATTTTTTCAGCGTATCTTTAATTATTAAAATAAAAAGTGTAAATTCAAACTTTGGAACTGATCCTGTTTCTGTTCAAGTGAACGGGAGTCTGGTCCTTGAATTTATAACATCTTCCTCTCAGTTTACTGCATACATGCCTATTTAAATCAACAAGGTGAAATGTATGTGGCCCACCCAATGAAATCCACCTTGGATGTGTGAACCCAAGCACAGAATTTGGCCCCGGTTTACAAGTGGCTACCCTTCGTGTACAACCTTCTAATCATTGACCTAGTATTTGCAGTTGCCATGTATGCAGGTTTAAAGGTGATGGTCAGGGTATCGTACAAAGAGGACCCAACAAAGTATATAAAGAGGCCTGATTCCATTTCAAAAGTTTACTCTTTCAGGCTGGCCCTGGCCTCTCTGTCTGGCTTCCCAGAGGTTACAGGAATTCTGAGCTGCCTCATCCAGTTTTCTTAGCAGAATGACCCTGTTTGCTTTGCTTCTCTTTGGCATGCAGTTACTATGCTCCCGGGCTGTCTCTCCTCCAGCCGAGAAACCGCCACCTCTCTTACATTCCCTGGCATGTAATGATTCTGCAGTCGAGGCAGCTGCAGATCTGGCTCTGAGCCAGATCAATGCCAACCAAAGAGAAGGCTATGTGCTCAGTCTCTATCGCATTTTCAGCGTCCAAGAACATCCCCAGGTAAGGAATCCTCTCGTTCTAGATGAGCGGTGGTCCTGCTCCGGGGGAGGGAGGGGTACTTTGTGTGTACTGTCCATCTGCCCTAGGAATGGGGGTTTGAACCAGGGAATGCTCAGAAAGACTTTTCACAAAGGCTAGGAATCTATTCCGATGTGGCAAAAATGTGAAGAGCTAAAATTTCTTAGCACAATAAGGGCAGTGGCAATGTCACCTACAAATGAATGGAATTTCACAAGAGCAATTTAAAGCAATTAGGACTATTGGAAATAGGGGGATCGGATTCTCTCTGCCCATGCACATAGTAATGCTTCTGGCATCTGTCCAGTGGGAGGGAAATACCAGCACTCTCCTATAATCACACTGTAAACCCACTTGGCTCAGGTGTGTTTGCCTATACAAGGAGCAAACTAAGAATGTCTTAGGCTCAGGTAATTTTTTCCACACCCAATTGGACACCTCACTGAAGACTGACTTCCTAAGCATTGAAACCACATCACAAGTTGCTCAGACTGGATTTAAAAATAAACGTAGCTCCCCAGGGAGAGTCACTTTCATTGCCTCGTCACTCATTACCTTTAAGGTGCAGCTTCTATCCTGGCTTTTTTAGTTATTCGTATTCATTTATTTCTAAAAAATATACAAAAGAAGGTGCCTAGACACAGCATAAAACCAGGCCTCCTAAAGGGGGGGACTTATGGGGCAATTGCCCCAGGACTCAGTGGTTCAAGAAGGCCTTGGGCTCCCCGTGGCAGCCAAAGCCATGGGCCCTTTAAATCGCCAGCAGAGCGCCGTGCAGCACGCAGTTGTCAGTGCTGAGGGCTGGGAGGAACATGCTGTGGTCTGGTCAGCACTGGTGGCTGTCCCAGCCCCGCCCCTTCTGCCCGAGGCCCCGCCTCTTCCGGGAGCATGGGACGGGGGAACCTGCCCCACCACCTTACTGTCAGGGCACCCCTTATCCCTCCAGCCCCGGGGCTGCCTGGGGGACATGCTGATTGTCAGAGGGAGCTCTGGCATGTTTGCAAGATGAACTGCCTGGGGTTGCCATTGAAGTGAGGGTTGAGAATGGGATGGCAGGAGAGGACGGGGTAAAGCTGGAGGTTTGCATGGTGAAGAGAGGTGGCGGGATGATGACAGCGAGGGTAAGCAGTGAGGATTAGGTCGCGAGTGTGTGCTAGACAGTGAGGGGGGGGGGTGTATGGGCTGAGCAAGAGGTCAACAGCCCCAGGAAAAAGATATCAGTGGGCCGGGGAGAGATTGCTGTGCATGTGTTTCGTAACAAGACATGCAACTGCATGGCCTTATTTTGGTAACCTTTGTGCACTCATCTTCTTATCTTCTCCCACCTATGGCAGTAACTTTCCTTCTGCCTCGAGTCTACCAATAGTATTTCAGTTTGTGGGGGCAGTGACTGTGTCCATTTATATGTTTGGGCACTAATTAGCTCACTGCAATAAATCATCGTAACTCCCCACTGAAGTCAGTGGAAAGTTTTGCTAAAAATAAGCCCCATGGTATAGTCTACAGGTCTTTTTAGGCCGTGTCCAAATTGTTATATCATCTCTTGCCAGGAGGGAGATCCGTGTTCTCCATCTCAGATGCAGATGACTCTGTACGTTTCATGGAAGCTTGTGGCTTTATTTTTTCAGCGTATCTTTAATTATTAAAATAAAAAGTGTAAATTCAAACTTTGGAACTGATCCTGTTTCTGTTCAAGTGAACGGGAGTCTGGTCCTTGAATTTATAACATCTTCCTCTCAGTTTACTGCATACATGCCTATTTAAATCAACAAGGTGAAATGTATGTGGCCCACCCAATGAAATCCACCTTGGATGTGTGAACCCAAGCACAGAATTTGGCCCCGGTTTACAAGTGGCTACCCTTCGTGTACAACCTTCTAATCATTGACCTAGTATTTGCAGTTGCCATGTATGCAGGTTTAAAGGTGATGGTCAGGGTATCGTACAAAGAGGACCCAACAAAGTATATAAAGAGGCCTGATTCCATTTCAAAAGTTTACTCTTTCAGGCTGGCCCTGGCCTCTCTGTCTGGCTTCCCAGAGGTTACAGGAATTCTGAGCTGCCTCATCCAGTTTTCTTAGCAGAATGACCCTGTTTGCTTTGCTTCTCTTTGGCATGCAGTTACTATGCTCCCGGGCTGTCTCTCCTCCAGCCGAGAAACCGCCACCTCTCTTACATTCCCTGGCATGTAATGATTCTGCAGTCGAGGCAGCTGCAGATCTGGCTCTGAGCCAGATCAATGCCAACCAAAGAGAAGGCTATGTGCTCAGTCTCTATCGCATTTTCAGCGTCCAAGAACATCCCCAGGTAAGGAATCCTCTCGTTCTAGATGAGCGGTGGTCCTGCTCCGGGGGAGGGAGGGGTACTTTGTGTGTACTGTCCATCTGCCCTAGGAATGGGGGTTTGAACCAGGGAATGCTCAGAAAGACTTTTCACAAAGGCTAGGAATCTATTCCGATGTGGCAAAAATGTGAAGAGCTAAAATTTCTTAGCACAATAAGGGCAGTGGCAATGTCACCTACAAATGAATGGAATTTCACAAGAGCAATTTAAAGCAATTAGGACTATTGGAAATAGGGGGATCGGATTCTCTCTGCCCATGCACATAGTAATGCTTCTGGCATCTGTCCAGTGGGAGGGAAATACCAGCACTCTCCTATAATCACACTGTAAACCCACTTGGCTCAGGTGTGTTTGCCTATACAAGGAGCAAACTAAGAATGTCTTAGGCTCAGGTAATTTTTTCCACACCCAATTGGACACCTCACTGAAGACTGACTTCCTAAGCATTGAAACCACATCACAAGTTGCTCAGACTGGATTTAAAAATAAACGTAGCTCCCCAGGGAGAGTCACTTTCATTGCCTCGTCACTCATTACCTTTAAGGTGCAGCTTCTATCCTGGCTTTTTTAGTTATTCGTATTCATTTATTTCTAAAAAATATACAAAAGAAGGTGCCTAGACACAGCATAAAACCAGGCCTCCTAAAGGGGGGGACTTATGGGGCAATTGCCCCAGGACTCAGTGGTTCAAGAAGGCCTTGGGCTCCCCGTGGCAGCCAAAGCCATGGGCCCTTTAAATCGCCAGCAGAGCGCCGTGCAGCACGCAGTTGTCAGTGCTGAGGGCTGGGAGGAACATGCTGTGGTCTGGTCAGCACTGGTGGCTGTCCCAGCCCCGCCCCTTCTGCCCGAGGCCCCGCCTCTTCCGGGAGCATGGAATCAGCCTTTTCCCACCTTGCCCTGGGATCTGGCAATGCTGAGGGCTCCCCTCCATATAACAACCAAATAGAACAGCTAAACCCAGTGGCTGAGCCAAAAGCACCAACAGCACTAAGGAGGCTGTGTCACATCTGTGCCATGCAAAAACGGAACACAGCATGCATTCAGATAGGTCATATTAATAAACAAAAATGCGCGTCGATCCCTCCGACACCTTTGTTCCTCAGAAACGGTCGAGAAACTTATTCTTTGCCTGTGTTTTAAACCAGAGGAAAAGCCACACCGCCTCTTTCCTCCTCGTTTCTGTGACCACTACTTACGATGAAAACTTGTGTGCTTTCAGATTCAAATCTGCCCTCCTCCCCACCTGATTTGTGGCTTGATCCTACTTTAAGACTTTTGCCATTGATTCAGATGGGAGTAGGACAGAGCCCTGTCTTCACAGGAAACAACAAGCAGTGTACTTCAGTAATAGGTTTTTAACTAGCTCTTAAACCACCATTAGATTTGTGCACATATTTACTTCTCCTTTCCTTTGCAATGTGTTCCCCCCACCCCCATACCTCCAGAGCTGCTGACTATAGTTGCCAATTCCCTTCTGGCTGCAACACTTGCCAGCATGCCAGGGACTGTGGTCTAAGTGTCAACAGTATCAAAGCAAAGGATTTGACTGTGTAGAAAACAATATCCATTCAGCGAGGACAAAGCACAGGAGAGGCTTGAATGGCTCTTTCCATAACAATGCTCTGCACTTTCCTTCCTTAGATCTCAAAATCACGTTACCAGGGAGGCCAGTATCAACATCACATTGTACAGCTGGGAAACTTGGGCACAGAGGAGGGCAGGGACTTGCCCACAGTGACCCAGCAGGCCAGTGGCCAAGCCAGCAATAGAACTTGAGCCCCCATCCAGTGCTGTATCCCGTAGGATGCTTCTGATGTCATAAGCTCTGTGCATGCTAGAAACGTCAACCATCTCCCTTCTTTATTTATTGATACAACGTACCTGCAGATAATTCTTTTCTTTTCACTAAAATTAGAGCAGACCTACATTTCAACCAAACCGTTCATTTCTGGCCATGGTTCAGCTTCATTCTTAGGTTCTGGTTGACACCAGAACAGGGAGTGTGAAAATCACTCATGGAAAGGCTGTTCTTGGAATAATTCTGACCTTACTGAGGGCAAGAAGCAGCAGAAATACTTTAAGAGAGCATGTCCTTACAGGCCAGACCCGCAGCTGACATTTGCTGCGTGACACTGCACCCTATAGTTGTCACATGCATGTAATTATATGATTATGACTTAATTGTGACACGTTCTGTACATGTGGTGAGGTGGTGTTAGAAAAGTTATGATTTGTGGAATACGATTATCCAATTTGTATGCATGTATCATTTTGTAGCTGAAGTTATGACTAAGTATTTGCATTTCAAATATAGTTACACCTAGGAAATACCCCCTAGTCGAGATGTTTTCAGTCTATATAATAGATGGGGAAGGGTTTATTCAGGATATTGGGCCATTCAGAAAAAAGAATAGGCCTTGGGAGAAGCTGGTGAGCCTTCCTGAGATTACTCCTTACAGCCTGTAAGTAATGGCTATTTTGACTCTACAAGAACATATGACCAGATCACATGATTCTGGACTCCATCTTGGGATATCAGTATTTTTGCAAAAAACAGTCATAAGAATGGCTGTACTGGGGCAGACCAAAGGTCCATCTAGCCCAATAGCCTGTCTGCCGACAGTGGCCAGCACCAGGTGCCCCAGAGAGGGTGGACCGAAGACAATGATCAAGCGATTTGTCTCCTGCTATCCCTCTCCAGCCTCTGACAAACAGAGGCCAGGGACACCATTTCTATCCCCTGGCTAATAGCCTTTTATGGACCTAACCTCCATGAAATTATCTAGCTTCTCTTTAAACTCTGTTATAGTCCTAGCCTTCACAGCCTCCTCTGGTAAGGAGTTCCACAGCTTGACTACACACCGTGTGAAGAAGAACTTTCTATTATTAGTTTTAAACCTGCTACCCATTAATTTCATTTGATGTCCTCTAGTTCTTCTATTATGGGAACTAATAAATAACTTTTCTTTATTCACCCACTCCACACCACTCATGATTTTATATACCTCTATCATATCCCGTCTTTGCTTGGAAGCAAATTTTAAAACAAAGGTTTCCCCCGTATGCTAAAGCTATAAAATGCAAGAAGTGACATCCGCAGCTATTCCTCACTCACCCCACACAAGAACGTCTAGAAACTCTTGAGGAACAAAGACTGAACTGGAAGAAGTACTGGGTCTAGGCTAAAGGGATTTCTAGCCTGTGTATGAAAGACCTGCGGCTTCCATGCTGTAAAGCAAGTGCAGCTTGCCCCTTAAAACTCTGCAACCTGTGTGAGTCATCTCTAGGGTGAGAATTTGCTAATTAGTATTGAATTCTATCTGGCTTATTAAGCTTAGTTTGCATTTTGTTTATTTCTTAGGTAATCTGTTTGAATCTGTTTGCTATCCCTTATAATCACTTAAAATCTATTTTATGCTAGAGGATGTTGTGACGACCACGACTTTAACAGGGTTCACAAAAGAACTCGACACATTCATAGAAGATAGGGCCATCAATGGCTATTAGCCAGCATGGACAGGAATGGTGTATCTTGCCTCTGTTTGCCAGAGGCTGGGAATGGACAATAGGGGGGTGGATTGCTTGAGAATTATTTGTTCTGTTCATCCCTCTGAGGTAGCTGGCATTGGCCACTGTTGGAATATTGAGCTAGATGATCCTTTAGTCTGACCCATTCTGATGTTATCATTTGTAGTTAATAAACTTGTTTTTGCTTTGTCCAAACCAGTGACTTGGAATGAAGAGGCCATCTTAGCTCAAGGGACAAAGACTACTACATATTCCTCTCCACACTGAGGGAGGGAGCAAACTTTATGAGCTTACACTGTACACTTCCCTGTGCAGCACAAGATGGCATAATTTGGGATTTATACTCTAGAGGAGGCGCATGCCTGGGGAAATGGGAGATTCCTGGGCTGTAGCCTTTCTATGCAGGAGCTGGTCAGAGAGCCTGCATGTAAAACCGGCACCAGGCGGATTTGAACCTGGGACCTCTAAAACAGAGTATAGGAGCCTCTACCCTCTGAGCTAAAAGCCAGCTGGCTCCCAGCTCATGCTGTAGAGGTCTCTTGAGCTTAACTGTTGCTGTGGTCTAGATACCACTTGCGTTGCTCAGTAACCACACTAGGGCTGTGTCTACACTGGCGCGTTCTTGCGTGAAAACGGCCACTCTTGCGCAAAAACATGCCGCCTGTCTACACTGGCCGTGCATTCTTGTGCACGTAAACTGATGTACTGTAGAAAATCAGGGCTTCTTGCACGAGAACTCTTATGCTCCCTCTCAGGAAGAAGCCCTCTTGCGCAAGAGCTCTTCCAGAAGAGGCCAGTGTAGACAGGCAACATGAATTTCTTGCACAAGAAGCCTCTATGGTTAAAATGACCATCAGAGCTTTCTTGCACAAGAGACCGTCTACACTGACATGGATGCTCTTGCGCAAAAGCACATGGCAGTGTAGACACTCTCTTGTGGAAGACTTTTTACACAAGAACTCTTCCGCAAAAGAGTTCTTACCCAAGAAGCTGCCAGTGTAGACGTTGCCCTAGGTGTGAGGGTTACATATGCAACTGCAACTAGGTGTGCTCCTCCCTGTGTGAATGTTGTGAGAAGTGCAGGACCAGAAGTGGGTCCACAGCTTGTCACTACAGCACAGGCTGATGAGTCAAAGGGCTCAGTGGTACTGCAGTTCCAGGTGGCACTCCAAGGTGGGGGGAGTGCTAGTATGAACTTTTAAACATTTGTCCATCCCTTATTGTTCCTTTTTCTTTGTGAGGGTGAAATTGTGACATAACTCTTCTTTGTGTTTAGGAAATCACTGGTTCTGTCTTCTATCTCACCTTGGATGTGGTAGAAACTGAATGCCATGTACTCAGCAGAAAGTTGTGGAAGGATTGTAAGAACAGAGCTGACCATGAAACTGTAAGGATTTATTTTATTTTAGATTTAGGTGCACATGGGAGCATATGGCTCAGTTATTCCTGAAGGAAGTAAAGTTCCTTACACGGAGGCTGTGTCTACACTGGGCCACTTATTCCGGAAAATCAGCCGCTTTTCCGGAATAAGCTGCGAGCTGTCTACACTGGCCCTTGAATTTCCGGAAAAGCAACGACGCTCTACTGTACAAAATCAGCCGCTATTCCGGAAAAGCTACGCTGCTCCCGCTTAGGCATAAGTCCTTATTCCGGAACACTGTTCCAGCAAAGGGCCAGTATAGACAGCCCAGTAGTCTTTTCCGGAAAAAAGCCCCGATCGCGAAAATGACGATCTGGGCTCTTTTCCAGAAAAGCGCTTCTACATTGGCCACAGATGCTTTTCTGGAAAAAGGGCTTTTCCGGAAAAGCAGCCTGCCAAAGTAGACGCTCTTTTTCTGGAAATACTTATAACTAAAACTATTCTGTTTTAAGCATTTCTGGAAATTCATGCCAGTGTAGACACAGCCGGATGGTTCTTGTAAGCAGCCGGCTAATTAAAAATTTGACATTTTTTAATTGAAAATATATTGTTTAATATTTTAAAAACATTTCTATGAAAATATTTTGCTGTTTTTCAACCAGTTTATAGCGTTCTCAAATTGAAAATTTCAACAGTTTTTTCAACCAGATCTAATAAGCGGCTACTAATAAAAATGCAGGCTAAGCAGTGTTGAACCTCCCTGTAAGGGTTTCTCTGAAAAATAGCCTGACAAAGGAGGAATGAAAGAGACTATCTTTATTGAACCTAATCCTTTGTTGTTGTTGTTCTGACAATGTAACTAGAGGCCTGAAGGAGTAAAAACCAAGAACAATCAACAAGTTAAGCCTCATCAATGCAGCAAGCAACCTGGGCTCACTACTAGAGCTAGTCAGCTTTTTTGTGACAAAATATTTTCATGATAAAGGAATTTTGCATGAAAAACTGTTTTAGCACCTGGTGAATATATTCCAGTTTTGGTTAAAAACAAACAAAAATGTTTGGTGTTTCTCAAGCAGTTTTTCTTTAAATGGAAATGTGAAATCCAAAAACAAAGCAATTTCCTGGCCACCACAGCAGCACCTTTGGGGGTTGGAAGGAACTCACAGGTGACTGAGTTCTTTTATACCTTTTATACCCCTTTTATACCTTTCTGGAGCCCTCCACAAAGAGAGAAACAGTGAAGGGTGAGTGGCCCCAATGGACAGTAATCATAAGAAGATTTCAGAAACTCCCAGCTCAGGTGTCTTGATAACACAAGAGAAAATAGTCAGAGGACCTGAGCATTAATATTTAAAGTCACTGAGGGGATGAACAGACTAGTCGAGATTCTTTGAATACTGCTGGTAGATCCTCCAATGCCATAGAACGGAGGCACATGCCATTCTCCCCTCTTGCTACCAACATCGTATTACAATGGGCACGGCCGGAAGATAGAGAGAGGGGATAGGACATTCCCACGGTACTGAGCTCCAACTGTTTTCAGATGGTTGGTCTTTGGTCCTCTATGTTCCCAATGGAGGGGGCAAAGCCAGATAAAAGGAAATGTGCCAGTGCGTCCCTGTACCACAACAATCCCCAGTTGCCAGAAGAAGTGGGGCTAGGCTGGGCAGCTAACTGGCACTGTCCAGATGCCCTGTGATCAGGGAGCCAAAACTGGGTTTTTCTCAGCTGTTCTTAGTGGCCAACTGAGAATCTGAACCCACTGATCAGATATGAAACTGGTGTAAACAGGCATTGCTCCACTGAGGTCAATACATTTATGTTGATTAGTACCAACTGAAGATCAGGCGTTTTGTTTCTTAACAGTTCTTTTCAGGTGATAAACTCGCTTAATTCTCAGCTGAGCACAAGGCAAAACTTTTCTTTGTAAAGAATTATATAAATGTATGAAAAACAATGTACTGTTTAGAGGCCTCATGGCTGCTGACAGGTCACAAAACTAAATTTCACCTACAGTCACAATGCATATTTATATTCCTTTAGGTTTTTGGGCAATGTAAAGCAATCCTCTACATTAACAAGCCAAGGAGAATTGTTCACCTGTATAGCTATGAGTGCACTTTACAGCCAGGTATGCTATTTTTAAATACATTTCTTATAATAAAGAATTGGAAGAGAATGCTTAAAGCTTTAGCCCAGCAAATTCATGGATATCCAGGGACTGTTTTTGTGGCTCATGGAGGTCAGATGACATTTTGCACCTGTGCAGGGCTCTACTTAAAGCACAGCTCCATTTGGAGAAGTGACTGTAAAAATGGCATCATAGTGTTTTGTGGTATTTTTCACTTAATGGCATTCTGATCTGACTTTCTTCGGTCAGAAAGTCCTTGAGGACTTTTAGAACCAACGTGGATTTGATTTGCCCCATTGATGCAAGAGGTGCAAACTGCCAGCTGTGACCAGGGGTGGGGAGATAGAGTGGGGCCTATGGGAGGCATGGACTCATAGAACTGGAAGTTCATCAAGTCTAGTCCCCTGCCCTCATGGCAGGACCAAGCACAATCTAGAGCATGGGTTCCCAAACTGGGAGGCGTGTCCCCCTGGGGGGGCATGTAGAAATTCCAGGAGGGGGGCATAAGGTGACCCAGCCTCCCCCCCTCTCCGCCTCAAGTTTTGCTGCTATTTTTGTTTTTTTGGCCCCAGTCACTTCCTTTTTTTTTTTGCTCAAGTTTTGCTGGGGGGAGGGGGGATGTGAGGGTTTCTCAAAAATCAAAAAGGGGGCGTGATGCCGAAAAGTTTGGGTACCACTGATCTAGAGCATTCCTGACACAGGTTTGTTTAATCTGCTTTTAAAAATCTCCAGTGATGGAGATTCCACAACTTCCCTAGGCAATTCCAGTGCTTAACCACCCTGACCGTTAGGAACTTTTCCCTGATGTCCAACCTAAACCTCCCTTGCTGCAATTTAAGCTTCTTGACCTGTCATCAGAGGCCAAGGAGAACAATTTTTCTCCCTCCTCCTTGTAACAATCTTTTAGGTACTTGAAAGCTGTTTTCCTCCTGGCATCCCCAAGGGAAGTGCAAGTGTTATCTTCTCTGCCATTTCCAGGTTTCTAAAGTGCATCTAGTGCTCTCGGGGAGCCTGGCTGATGGAGGCTGGCCATTAGAGGTGCTGAATCAGTCTCTCCTGGCTCTTCTGACTATCTGCCCCTCCCTCACCAGAGCTGCACACGTTCAGGGCGTTCTTTGGCTGGCTGCCAGAGCAGGGATTCCAAGTCCTTTGTGACTTCTCCCTAAACAGTGAGGAGGGAAGCGCTGAGGCAGGGCCTTGTGGCAAACCCGCCTGCTGTAGGTCCTACCCACCTGTGCGCCACTCCTTCCTCAAGACCCACCCTTGCTCCACATCCATGCCCCCTCGCCTGAGCGATGTGGCCCGGAGGATTACAGGGGCCTGGTGCAGCCTCAGCAGAGGCCGCACCCCCCACTACCCACATCCCCCCACCGTGCTCTCCACTTCTCCACCTGCTCCGGGATTGGGGCGCTCTGCTTCTTGCCGCTGTGGAGAAGTCGAGCACAGTGGGCTGGGAGGGCAGCACAGCAAGGAGAAGTGAAGCAGATTGCTGGGCTGCTCCGGCACTGCATGGCGAATGCAGGGGGCAACCCTAGCTGTCATCTCTCTTAGCCCCCCAAGTCCCTCCCAGCCATAGAACTGTTGGGGCAGCCACAGCAGGGCTCCCAAAAGTGCAGGGCAGAGAGCAGCTGCCTCTTTTCATCCTCTGAATGGGACCCCTCTGCTCTGGGGGCATCTGCCTGGGCAAAAGCCAGCAGAGTCTCCAAAGCAGTGGCTCTCAACCCATGGTCCCCAATCAGCCCATAGCTGCAGCCCACGTGACATCCCCAGGCCCAGAGCAAACCAAGCTCTCTAGTGTTTATCTGGCAACATTTGGAGAGGGGGCAGGCGGCTGAGGTGGATCTGTGGGGTTTGAATCGTGGGGGGTGTCCCATGACAATTCAATTCATAGGTCAATGGCTCTACCCTTCGAATCGAATAGTGTTGCTTGAAACTGAAATGCTAAGAGCTTGAAACACCAAAGAAAGAAATAAGAATGAAATCTGCACACCTCCCTGCCAACCTATTTCTGACAATGGGATTGCAGTGTTATGACACCTCTCCTATCAGCGTGTATTTGTGTTTTTTCTACAAAGTTCCATCAAGCTCCATTGTAAGGCTCTGCCCTGACTGTCCAACTCCTGGCTGTCCAACGGAGCCCAAATATCTGGAAGCTGCTGTTGTGAGCCTGGACAAATTCAACAAAGAAAGCAAGGAAGCTCATCTTTTCTCTGTCCTCAATGTTACCAAAGCTTCGATGCAGGTAAGGCTGAGATTCACACCACCCATTTTAGGCCCTGTGAAGCATTGATACAACTACCGCACTTATTCATGTTGCCCAATAAGGTGCAGAAATGGGTTTGCACACCAGCAGTTAGTTCAGGAAAGGGTTCTGATTTTCCTGCAAAATGTGAGGCTGTGTAGACCTGGGGTTTCGATTCAGGTTATTACAGAAAGAAGTGCCATTTGCAAAATTCAGATCTAGTTTTGAGCCAGCTCTTAATATATTTCAAAGGCTGGTGCGCAGCTCTGGGGAGCCAGTGCGAGCTGGGACAGTTGGGTCCTCCCGGTTGCACTTCTGCTTTTTAAATGTATTTAAAAAGCAGAGGCACAGCCAGACGTGTAGTGAGGGTGTTATGAGCCTGGGGACAAAGGAAAAATTTGCACATACCCCCTCCTGCCACCATGTGGCATGGCCCCGAACCTGGTGCACAGCTGAGGGGAACTTGTATCGCATCTTCCCCCACCCCCTACAGTTTGGGGCTGGGCTCCCACATACACTAACCCACCAGTGGAGATGGAGGAGGGTCAGGCTTGGAGCAGCGAGGCAGGGAGGAGGCTCCAGCTGTTGGTGGCAGGCGGAGTAGGAACATGTGATCTGAAGGGATAATGGGGGGGAGCAGAATGGGATTAAATTGGAGCCTCCCTAGCATGGTGCCAAGGGGCAACTGACCCCTCCGACTCCCTTGCTATGCCACTGCCCCACCTCCTGCAGATCTATCTTATGCATGTTCAAGATCTGTGAGAGCTGTCCCATGAATCTGCAGTTAGTGTCTGTGGCGCCTGCTTCTGGATGGTGTCTCAATGCTGCCACATTCACCTCCAAAGAGGGGGCTTCCCAAATCAGGCCCTTGCTGCTGACCCCCAAGGGATCTACAGGTCTAGTCTCCTTTCAATGGGCCCACTTCCATCCCCTCTCCATCCCCTTTCCAGCATTTGCAATTGCCCAGAGGTGCTCACCTTCCGCCTTATCCCTTCCCACCTCATTCACCCCACAGGGACAGTCTTTGCCTCACTTGTCCTAGGGACTGTTCTACCAAGATGTAATACAAAGTTGCCATGTAAAAGGACTCAATAGAAAGCTAAAAACTTCAATGAGAGAATGATTAATGCAAAGACATGTCTACATCTGTTGCAGGGAGACACCTCTGCCTGCCTCCACCCCTCTCCCCCCAGTCTACAGCCCCATTGCAAAGCTGGGCATGGAAGAAAAATTGTTCTCCTTGGCCTCTGAGGTTAGCATGAGAAGCAATGGGCTTAAATTGCAGCAAGGGAGGTTTAGGTTGGACATTAGGAAAAACTTCCTGCCTGTCAGGGTGGTTAAACACTGGAATAAATTGCCTAGTGAGATTGCGGAATCTCCATCACTGGAGATATTTAAGACCAGGTTAGACAGATACCTGTCAGGGATCAGCTTGGGCAACTCAACTGTGGAAGCCCCAGGGGCCACGCTGATACTTACATGCAGCAAGGGAGGTTTAGGTTGGACATTAGGAAAAACTTCCTGCCTGTCAGGGTGGTTAAACACTGGAATAAATTGCCTAGTGAGATTGCGGAATCTCCATCACTGGAGATATTTAAGACCAGGTTAGACAGATACCTGTCAGGGATCAGCTTGGGCAACTCAACTGTGGAAGCCCCAGGGGCCACGCTGATACTTACAGAACATGCTGAGGGCCTCAACTTAAGTGTGGTTTCATATGCAAGCACATATATGCAAATAGCTTCTCTCACACTGACCGGCATGAATACAAAGATTAAGGCAAGACTACACAACACACAGGCCCCATTTAAGTCAGTTCTGCTGATATTAATAAAATGCAATATTTACCCGATTTCTACCCATGTGACAGCACTTTTCATGAGCAATGACAGTCCAAGAATTTAACTACTAAAACACATATCAACAGAAGATCGTTACACTGACTACCTTTTTGTTTCGGCTCCCACTCGCCGGCCACGTGACGACCTGGCCCCTTCCACCAGCCCTTCTCTCCCCCCTGTGCCCACTCCTCCAGTAGCCCCACTCTGATCAGATGAGCTACCCCTCCTCATCCCCTCTTCTAACACCTCCCTTTACACACCTGCCCTGCCTCTCTCCTCTGGTGCTGGTCCCTCCCATGCAGGTGTCTGCCCTTCTGCTTCACCCCCAGAATCTCCTGGCACCTGCACCTTCCCTTAGCCCTGCACCTTCCTGGTGCCTCCCCCTTCCTCACTGCCCCTGCCCCCTTTTCTCTCTTTTTCCCTGATGCCCACCCCCCTCACCACTCTCTGCCCCCATTTCCCTCATGCCCCTCTGGGCCCTCACACATGACTTGCTCCATCCCCGCCTTTCTCATGCCCACCCCCCTTTCAAGCCTTCTCCCAGCACCTGCCCCTCCCCCCTCTAGACTCTAATGCCCTTACCCTCTCCTCTCCCAGCATCACCCTGTCCCGCTCCCACTGACACCTCCCCTCCTGCCCTTTTCCTCATTGTCTCCACTTGGCCCCTGGCACTTGTATCTTCCCCCTCCCCTACCCCTCCACACAAACCCCTTCCTCTCCCACCCTTCCCCCTAGTTTTCCCCCTGCCCTGCCCTGCTGTACCTTCTGCCTTGCGGGGCCAGACTCTGTGCTCGGGCCCCAGATGTCCCTGGACTCCAAACTGGAAGCTAGGCTGCACAGCACCACGTGGCACCGCACACTTTTAAAGTCTCAGGCCGTGACATCACGTCATGCCCGGGCATCTCCCCGGTCACCTGGAAACGCTGCACATGGCAACAGCAGCCGGCAGCATGCGCAGGCAAGGGGGAGCCAAATGAACGCTGCGCACGGCAGACACAGTCGGGGGCCAGGGGGAACGGCCATATAACACGCCTCCCATGCCAGGTGAGCCTGCGCAGCATGCGCTCACTCTCACCCCGGCCCGGCGCCCCCCTAGCATGGCACCCGGGGGGCAATTGCCCCCCCCTGCACCTCTTTTGCTAAGCCTCTGGGCACAGCATCTGATACTGAGCACGAGCTCGGGATCAGCTGATTCCCACCTCACGCTCAGTCCCTGCAACCCCTCTATCTCCTCTGCCCCCCACAGAAACAGTGCTGGGGGAAACTAGCTTTTAAGCCAGCTCCTCCTAGTACTGGCTCCTGCTCCCCCCCTTGTTGCCTCTGATAGAAGCAGCAGAGGATCGTGGAGAAGCAACTATTAGAGGAACTAGTCAACTGTCTGATAAGCTTATGCTTATCCGACAGTTAACTAGTCAACTAGTCCCTTATATCCCTATCCAAGTATATGTGGTCAGTTTCTGAATTTACTGTGTTAGTCAATAGGAACTTAGTTTAAAATTTGCTTTAAAATATTCTGTTAGTATGTTGCTGAAGATTATGAAATCACATCTCTAAAAAATCATCAATTCCTGCTTTGGGCTATCATTAGGAACAGAGGTACCAGTTTAATAGTGTTGTGTAGGGCCTCATAATTCCTAAGAACAGCCTTGTCCAGTAGTATTCCTATTTGGGCTTTTGATTCAGGCCTACCTCTGACAAACAGCCCAAGTGAAAAAGTATTTAGTGTAGCAGAAAGATTCCCTTCCATGCACACCTGTAACTCACCAAATTAACTTAAAATAATTTAAAATCTCATTGCACTGTGAGGAGGTGCTAATTATCAGTGTCCTGGCTAAATTCCATTTGTGCCTTACAATTATATTTTTCCTCCCTAAAATTCATTTCTACTGGATAGTCTTCACTCTCTAACAGTTTTGTATTGTTATTCATAGACTTTAAGGTCCGAAGAGATCATCATGATCATCTAAAGCATATGGCAGACCAGACTATGTGCTATTAAAATGTTTCCAGTTTCAAGCCCAGAAGTGGCTGCAATTCAAGACGGGGTGAAGTGATACCTATGGATAAAAAGTTGGCTGAGGCATAATGAGGATCTTTGGATGGAAGGCTCTGTAAATATCAATTGCTAAGAGTATTTTAAAAAAATTAATCTAGTTTCAGCTTTGACAGCTAGCAATACGTCAGTGGGAATTCTGTATAAAAGGTAAGGATTGGGCTCAATGGTGGACAATAATTGGCCCTTGGGCTAGACACAGTTTGTCAGGGCTAATCTCTGGAGAGCTGCCAGATGCTTTATTTACCTGTGCATCTGCTGGTAAGGCCCCTCGCAGCTCCTGTTCACCAGGAATCGCAAACAGCAGCCAATGGGAGCTAGGAGCAGCTGTACCTGCAGATGAACAGGTAAATAAAGCATCTGGCAGCCTGCCAGTGGCTAACCCTGGAGAACCTCATCCAGTCTGCAGGCCACTTAGGGTACATCTAGACTATAGGCTTTTTTCGACAGAGGCTTTGTTGACAAAGAGAGTGTGTCTAGACTACATGCCTCCGTCGACGGAGGCATGTAGATTAGCCAGATCGGCAGAGGGAAATGAAGCCGCGATTAAAATAATCGCGGCTTCATTTAAATTTAAATGGCTGCCCCGCTCTGCTGATCAGCTGTTTGTCGGCAGATCGGGGCAGTCTGGACGCACCGCGCCGACAAAGAAGCCTTTCTTGATCGGCACAGGTATGCCTCGTGAAACCAGGTTTACCTGTGCCGATCAAGAAAGGCTTCTTTGTCG